GATAGATAGATAGATAGATAGATAGATAGATAGATAGATGGATAGATGGGTAGATAGGTAGATAGATCGATAGATAGATAGATAGAACGGATAAAAAAATATTTCCATTGACGCATGTGTAGCGCATCTCTAATGCCTGAATTTTGTTTTCTCATCAGATAATCTACCATACCATTATGTGGCATCGGTCGCGATTTGATTCTTGGACTTTCAAGAGTAAGGTCGTGGGTTCGAATTCCATCAAGAGCCCCAAGTTTTGTCCGTGGGAATTTTCCTCACTTCATCCAGGTGAGAATGGGTACCCAGCAATGAGACAGCTAAACATAATAATATATTCCTCTTGTTAGTGTTTTAGCACAAGTAATTTTGCTGTTTGAACTGTATACTTCCTGGGAAGTTAAGTTGAATATATCGGAGTGTTTTGTGGTCTTCTTGGGTAATAATAGTTGTAAATCGCATAGAATGAGTTGAGTGCGGATAAGCTCGTTTCAAGTACGTAAAGTAACTTTTCTTGTCCCTTAGAAAGTAGAAAGGAGCCTCGACAGACAGACCGCTAAAAATTTTCTCTGTCTCACTTGTCTTAAAAACACAAGCACTCATTTTTAGGGGGAGTTTTTTTTGTTTGTTTTTGTTTATCTGTTTGTTTGTTTGTTTGTTTTTGTGGGTTTTAAAAAATATTTTTCACATCTAAAGCATTTATTACATTTTTTAAAAAGTTGTATTAATTCCTGTGGGGAAAATATGAGTCACAATAGCAACAACATACATACATAAATACAAAATTGTGAATACAATAAATACATAAACAGAAGTCTGCAATTTAACTATGCAAATGGCACTCAAATGCCTACCATGCATAATGGCGTACTAGCCCTTTTCTCAGTCTGCCCAATCAACGTGAGTCACAATCCAGTTCTACTATAATATCTCTGGCTGGCAGATGAGAGGCAAGCGCCCCATTTCGTCACGTGATCTGTCAAGGGAAATCTAAAACTTGGAGCGTCTTCTGCGAAATGGATTACCATGGGAAATCAAATTATCAGGACTTAGCAGTTATCAAATTTCCCGCTCTCTTGAACTCGCTGGTAGCGCTGGCAGCTGAGACGCTGAACGGGGAAAATCCAATAGCAGGGGAAGAGGGTTTGTGAATAAGATAGATGAGATCAAGAAGGAGGAGAAGGAGAGAGGGAGGAACGGGAGAGAGAAAAGGAGGAGGAGGGGCGAGAGGGGCAGGGAGAGTGAGTAAGAGTGGGGAGGAAGGGGAAAGAAGAGAGGATAGGAGTAGAGAACAATGAGAGAGGATAGGAGGGGAGGTCAGAGATTTGGGGAAGGGGGAAAGATATATATATTGAACGTACCTTGAAGGAGGAGAAGGAGAGAGGGTCAGGGGAGAGGGTTCCGTGAACATACCTTGAAGGAGGAGAGGGAGAAAGGGAGAGGGGGAAGAGAGAGAGGAACAGGGAGGAGGGTTCTGTGAACATACCTTAAATGGGAGAGGGAGAGAGGGAGAAGGGGGAGGGTTCAGTGAACATACCTTGAAGGAGGAGAGGGAGAATGGGAGAAAGGGAAGGGAGAGAGGGACAGGGAGGAGGCTTCTGTGAAATACATTGAAGGGGGAGAGGGGACAGGGGAGGGAAAGGGAGGAGGGGAGAGGTGGAACGGGGAGAAGAGAGTTTAAAGGGAGAAGGGGGTGGGACAGTGAAAGGGGGGAAAGGAGGAGGAGAGGGTGAAGGAAAGGCTGGAGGGAGGAATGTGGTGGAAGGGGGGGGGGCGAGGGAAAGGAAAGAGGGCAGGGAGGAAGGGGAGGAGAAGAGGGAGAGGAGGGGGTTGGCAGAAGGGGAGGGGAGGGCAGGGGGAAAGGGGGTGTATGGGAGGGGAGAGGAGAGAGGGGAGATGGGGGAGAGGAGGAGGACGACGGTGCTAGCTACAAGCAGTAAATAATCCCCTAACAACTAGACTGTCTTGCACAGGTGTTCCTTGTGGGACGTTTGCATTAGGAGGTTGTTTTGTTTTGTTTTGTTGTTCTTTAGTCGTGTTTTTTTCTC